GTGGTGGTCGTGTTTTTTGTTTTGTTTTGTTTTGTTGTTGTTTTTTATGTTGTTGTTGTTGTTTTTTTTTTTTTTTTTTTTTTTTTCCCCTTCGTGCCTGCTTATGCCACGGCCGCGCTGTCTAGGCCACACCCATGGCTGGGCCATGGAGATGTCTTGGCCACGCCCATGGCTGGGCCACGGCCGAGATGTCTAGGCCATGGCTGGGTTGGAACGGAGTCTGAAAGGGGAGGGCAGGGAGCAGAGGAAAAGATTGAACAGCACATTCGGGTGAGTTAGGGCCGCATTCGGGGGGAGGTCGCCGACCGTGGTGTCAGTAGTGAAGCGGCCGTCAGGGAAGAAACTTTGTTTTTCCCTCTGGACCCCTGTGGTGGCAGGCGCGTGGAGACAGGACATACACAGTTGCATTTGCTGAATGAATCGGCCGTTGTAGCATGGCAAGATACACGAAGTTGCAAAAAAAAAAAAAAAAGTTGCAAAAAGAATCTATCTAGATACAATTGTGACAGCGTGAAGGATGCATATCACGCCGTAAATTCCCCGATTTGACGGCAGGATAGTCGTTGTGCGAGGTCCCTGCTCGCAGCAAGTGAAAGTTTTCAGAAAAAAAAAAAAAAAAAAGTTTTTCAAAAAGTTTTTCAACTACGGCCAACTCCGAAGCCTTCATCCGTGCTAGTGAGCCACTGGAGGATGGACTATCTAGGGTTGAAGATGCTGCCACCTCTGACTGTTCCACTAAAAAACATTTTTTTGGTCTCCTGTGCATGTGGTAACTGGTGGATCCAGGCCCTACACTGGTGGATGAGGGGCGAGGTCCCACTAGCAAATGGACGTGGTCAATCTTGATTTTCTGCACCTTTCGGTCCTTTCCGACAAAGACATCCATATGCAGACATTCAATCCAATCCTCTTTGCCAGTGGGACCTGGCCTTAGGTAACTGAATTCTACAACATGGCATGATATAAACGAGCGTCACAAAAAACAAAAAAAAAAAAAAAAACAAAAAAAAAAAAAAAAAAAACCTTCAACAACAAGAAAAAAGGCGGCACGCAACACGGGGGTACGTGGACGCTGATCTCTTCCACAAGGCGCCTACCCTGCCAGGCACCATAGCTGTGGGAGAGCTATGGCGACAGTGCCCTGGAGTAGCCTAGCCCTTGAGTGGGTAGGGAGTGCTATCATGCACTCTTACGCCATGGCATCCTGGCAGCTCTGTACCTGACCTGACCTCCATACCAACTTGCACACCTTACAGGATCTTGATACCAGAGGAGCCACCCTCCCCTCAAGCCTTCTGCTGGAAAGGGGGGGCTCCTTTCTCACCATCCAAAGGCCCCGCGCTGTTTGTCATGACACGTCATCCCGGCTGCTCTGACTACTAGGAAAGTATGGAAGGCGGAGGGGCGCATCTGGACGCAGTGGGAGAGTGTGCGGTTGCGGTGACAGCACTCTGGCATGTTCAAGGGCCTCAGCAAGTCTCGGTTGACCTTTTTTCGTCGCAAGGCAGTCTGTTGTTCATTTACTTCACTTCAGAAGTATATGTCCGTTTATAGTTTCTAGATGTTCTGGGGAAGTTTTGCAGCAGATTTAGGGTGAAACTCACGGGGTTGGGATGATATGAGAGACCCGGTGAAGAGCAAACTAGAGTTGTATCCATTGGGTGCGTGGTGGGAAACCCGTGTAGGCAACAAAGGCTCTTTATAGTGTTTTGGTCAGCGATGATGAGAAGGTAACCCTAAGGTTTATTCTCCCTTCCGAGCGTTTAGCCTTTGAGATTGTCCCTTTAGTTTGATATTTGGTAGATTTATGGAATTTTGATTGGGTATTTTATCTTTCTTCTGGAGACTTGTCGACGTAGTAGTCTAGTAGATATTTGGAACTGCTTCTGTTTTACATCTGTATCATTTACATACCTACGGTAGAATCTGGAAATCAATAGGATGAAGGGATGAGATCGCAGTATTTGGATTTGCTTTGTCGTCCACGATTCTGACAGTGTGTAGTTTTTCGTTGTAACGTAGTTTGAAGGTTTTCGCGCCGAGGTTAGGACTTGGGATTTCTGTTTGATGTTCTAATCCTCCAAGAAGTATATGCTCACTCACAGATTCTTGATATTCTTAAGCGCTGTGGTATGTTTACAGTGGTTTAGGGTGATACTCACAGGGTTGGGATGACACGAGAGACCCGGTGAGGAGCAAACTAGAGTTGTATCCACCGGGTGCGTGGTGGACACCCGTCTAGGCAACAAAGGCTCTTCACAGCGTGTTGGGTAGTGAGGATGAGAGGGTAACCCTAATGCTTAGTCTTCCTTCCCAGCTCCTAGTTATCGAGATGGTTCCTTTAGCTTGATAGTTTGTAGGTGCACGGAAGTTTGACTGTCGAGAAAGCCCCAAAGCCCTATGGGTGGCGGCGCCATCAGCGTGAGTGGGAGACTCACTAGTGGCGGTGGGAACGTTCCCCSGGCATGAAGGGKAAGACAACTGCCATCCATAACCACGCTTGGTGTCACAGTGTCGTTCACGTTTTAGCGCCGAGGCTAGGACTTGGGAGCTGTGTTTGATGTTGCAATTCTTCAGAAGTTCATGACCACTCACAGATTCTTGATGTCCTTGAAGCGCTGGGGTATGGTTGCAGTGATTTAGGGTGATACTCATATGGATGGGATGATACGAGAGACCCGGTGAAGAGCAAACCAGAGTTGTATGATTTGTATCCACTGGGTGCGTGGTGGGAAACCCGTCAAGGCAACAAAGGCTCTTTACAGTGTTTTGGATAGTAAGGACGAGAGGGTAGCCCTAATGTTTAATTTTCTTTCCCAGCTCTTAGTCATTGAGAGTGCCTCTTCAGTTTGAGAGTTTGTAGACTTCCACTTCCTGCAGACAATATCAATAGGCCCTGTTTTAAATTCAGTATGTACTTGGGTTGAATTTTAGAATTGACTTGATCTAAGAATTTAGTTTGTCTTCGGAAATAATTTTAGGGTTAAATTGTAAAAATTTTTGTGAATTGCCTTGTGCGTTTTCGAGATTTGCAGTTTATAGCTCATAGTTCTTTGCCAATAGTGTTTCGATCTTAGAAACATGCGGCGTTTTTCCAGCGCTGTAAGGATATTACACTGCTACAGAATTGTTTTACAATTTTTTATTTTTGGAGATTCCTTTAAGGGACACTGGACCCGGTTTCCAGGAGCCTAAGCTGAGTATTGGCCTCAGCAGGATTGTATGGGCTTGATATGCAGGGGTGTGTTCCCGGGGCCCGGTGGTCTCATTGGAATGGAAAGTTATGTTTCTCCAAAAAAAAAAGAAAA